CAAAAACGGTGCCTCCTTATTGATATGGCAGTCCCTGCTGACTGCAATGTATCTTTGAAGATATTCAAAAAGCTGTCAAAATACAAGAACCTTGAAATAGAAATCTCAAACATGTGGCACATGGGAACATCAACAATCCATGTTGTAGTTGGAGCCCTAGGACTGTTTGGAAAAGATTGCAGTAGACTAATTGAAGGGATTCCTGGAAGTCCATGCCTCAAGGAGATACAAAAAATTGTTCTGACAAGTACAGCCCACACTTTTTACGAAGGGCTTTATTTATCTTTTTAATTTTTTTTTTTTTTTGCCAGTGGAAAGTGTCATAATGCCATTTCTAACATTAGGTCCCTGGGCGGGACCCGGAAAGAAATGTGTAAACGCCAGAAATCAAAGAAAATAAAATAATAATAACAACAACAAATGTTGACAAAATTATAGTAAATATTTGTTCGGGTTCAGTTCGAATCTAAGTAGCGCTTAGGAAATATTGACATCGTATTTGTAATTTCCATTACTTTCTCTGCCTGTACAGGTTGTGTAATGAATAGCGGCTTGCTATTAGAGAACTCTGAAATCAATTCAATTACAATTGGGTTCGTTACATTATTTTCGGGGCAATTCCTTTAGGAGAGGTATGAATCCATCTCTTACCTCTAGCTATGTATTAAATAGAAGGACTTATATCTGAAAGTTTTATTGTTATTCTCAAATATCGTTAATGCGACATTTTCTCGTAAAAATTTTATTACGCTTACAATCCAAAATATGTTGCAGATTTAAATACCCCGCAAATGTTTGATAAGCAGAAGATAAGACCAAAAATCAATTACTTTTACTATATCCACGATGATCAAATTGTATGGAATTTTATTTTCTGTGATAGCATATCTTTAAAACGCACCATTATGCCATAGACGTTTTCAAAAATAATTCATGCCATGATAGATCGAATGTATCCGGTTGATCAAGATGATTTGCAGTGAGCAGTAGTCCTGAAAATTTAATCAATATGACACTTATAATCTTCCATCCGTCAAGTGCTATTCAATAAACCTAAATTTTGTTCCGTTGTTTCCGAGGCAATCACTCAGTGTTCGGGATCAAATAAAAGTCAAATTTTTGAATAATGGAAATTAAAATAAATAAAACGACGTTGAAAAGAAGTGCATTAGTCGTTTTCTTTATTGTCCTCATTTCCGTTCCATTTTTTCTTCAAATTTGCGATTTCTCAACGACTCCAAACATTTAACCACGCAAGAATCTACTTTGTCGTTTAAGAATCTGCGAAGAAGGCAATCTTTGAACTTTGGATACAGAGCTGAGATAGTTAAACGAATCAGTCGAAATCGATGCTGTTTCTTCAGTTAAACGAGTGGAGGTTATAAAAAAGTTGGAATGAATAAAGGGCAAAAAGTTGTCGGATCCTATGTCAATCAGCACTTTGTCCGCTGCACTTGCCTGGATTTCATTTCTTCGTCGTTAATCGTTTTCTTGTGGCTGAAATGATTCTAATTGAAATTTCTGCTAATGCAATTGTCACGATGTCTAGGAATTTGACCTTTCAAAGCTTATCATCCTACAGATGAAAAACAAAAACATAAAACTACCCAATTACTTTCTAGATTATATGAGTATTTTTATTTCTTTATCTCTCTCACTTTCTCTCGCTCTCATTCTCACACACACACTCTCTCTCTCTCTCACACACACACTCTCTCTCTCTCTCACACACACATTCTTTCTCTCTTTCTCATGCAAACACACACTCTCTTTCTCGTAGTAGAAACAGATCATTTGCAAACTGAGATAGATAGATAGATGAGCACAGAGACTAACAGAAATAAAACAGAGCCAGTCATCCAAGCATAGAAAGATAGATAGATAGATAGATAGATAGTATAGAATAAATTAGAATTAGTTTATTTTCTTAAAATTATTAATACTTTACTAAGATTAGTACAGCACAAGATCAAAAAGATATTACGTCAATCTTCTAAGTTAAAACCTGACAGTAATTGAAAATTAGTATTCAATACTCTATTCTCTTATTTGCATGCAAACTCCTACTATTGACTCAGATGAAAATTCCTCTCATTTACTCGTCTCTTATAAGAAGGTAACGGTTGACACCAAACCCGTTCGGAAATAGCTAAATTGCGAGCTGTATACAGACTCTATCTCAGAGCAGTGGTTCTTCGAGCGAATGAAGTATCTAAGCCTAGGCGAGAAATATCCTCGTTCGAACTACGTGGTTTGATGCTACAACAAAGGAATAAGAAAAAAAAAAGCAAAAAGGAAATCGTTTGTCTCAGCAACTAATTTTTACCAGTGCTCATATTGCAATTTATATGTAATTCATTGCTTTTCTTTACCACTCCTTATTACTGGTTCCCATACTGTATTCATATCTATGCTTGGTCGGCTCAAGAGATTTTTGTAGCCTAGCATATGTGCTGATTCTTTAAGTTTTCGTATTTCGTTTTCGATAAATTTGTATAATGAGTAACAGTTGTTGTCTGGGTCGTGGAAAACATATGAATCTTTACGCCATACATTAGACCGCCCTAAATCACCACATTCCGGAAGCAAATAGTTGTTTTCAGCAGTCTAATGGATTCGGGGTTGATTTTCTTGTGATCTCATCTAGGAAAAATAAACTTTGATTATAATGATTACACAAGAATAAAATATCTCCGTTTATAGAAAATATTAATAGCAAATCATGCTGTTTTATCACTGCTTTATATATACTGCGTGAGCATCTATTTTCATAGTAGACAAGTTTTGCTTGGTTTACAAATACGTTCAGAACATTCTGGTCATGTTTGTACGTGGAGGTATTAAGAGATGTTCTATAAACGCAACACAATCCCCTTGTCATATTTGAATTTTACAAGTATTCGTCAGAATCTCTATGGATTTTAGCAAGGGGCCATTTTAACCGAAAATGAAAATATTCAGCCTGGTATCTTTGTTACAAGCCTTTATTTATATGTGCACATTTCAGGATCCAGTTATTGCAGAACGAACTAAACCCAAGGTTTATACAACACCGGATATAAATGAGTACTTTTCTGTCAAGCAGAAATAGCCACGTTCATTTCATTATATACCAAACCTTGAAGAGTCTAGTAGCGGAGAAAAATCCGTGTAATTATCTTCTCTTTTCCTACCCAGAATCCTCTTTCAAAATGGTTTCTTCTCTCAGTGTATGTAGAAATCAACTAGTTGTTAAATTATTTTCCTATTTAGAAGATTGTTCGAGAAGCATTTATATGAGTGAAAGTTTATGGAAAAGTAGCACTTGATGTTATTCCAATGAGGTAATGTGTCAGTAGAAAGAGACAATGCAACTGACATTCGTGAGGGTAGTTTATCACATGCTGCTCTGAATACCAAGCAGTTTGACAGGTTTTGGAAGGGAAATTTTGCTATTTCAGTGCATCTTCGAATTCGGTGTCACATTATCCGTCATCTGTTATAAAACTTCCCAGACTGTTAAATTTCAGTACTTACTTGATTTTGACAGGTCCAATTCGTAGCTCTCATCTTGGGATTTTTCTCTTGCTGACAACTACACGTTCACTTTTCCGAAGTACCTAAAAGCGCATTTCATGTCAATTATTCAACATACCAGTGACAAAACTTCTGTGACGACATCTAAAGAATGAAGGTCTTGGTGTAATCATACTCTTCACAGGTAGAGCTCTATGTACAAAATTTTAATTTTTAATTCCGAGAGTCGTAACACAGTAGCGGTCATAATATAAGCAACGGAAACAAGAAAGACATAAATATGTGTATTACTTAAAAGGTAATGCATGATTAGCAATGAAATTTTTACCGAATAAACATTAGGGTGTAATGTAAAAATATTATACAAAATTACAAAAATTTACATAAGAGATTATTTTTATATTTAGGTTGAAAAAATAGTAGGTTTCTTATACACTCCGCAAATTACCTGATTCTACCTGCTATACTTTGTTTATACAAGCATCAGATTAAACCAGACCAAAAGTGGAGCATCGGTGCTATATTTCAGTTAGAACTGTCCAGTCTTCCCTTTCCAGCCTTGACAAAGTTCAAAAGGTTTTACGTAGAATTACCACCTAGAACCGCTTTTCCACAGACGCAATGTCGCTATTTCAGTGGAACACGTTATAACGAGTTACATTCTCTAGTTCCACAAATTCAGACAATCACAGATGAGAACCACCATGAAATGTTCAAGGAGGAATGGAACAAACCATCTTTATTCCCTTCGTATTTCATTGGTAAGAATGCATTTCCATTCAGACAGTTTCTTACAAAGAAACCGCTTTAGTGTGGATTATACACGCGAGTGGATGCTTCCCCAACCACTACGTAATTCTTAGGTAACTCAGTAACTTCAGTGACTCTTGGATCATCTATTAAGCGGAAAATAGTTCAAGCAAAAAACAAAAAAAAAACTGTAGCCTCCTTTAGAAACCAGTTTAAGAAAAGGAAAACACCAAATCGTAAAGAAGGCAAGGAAAATCCCTCCATTAACTTTCCCAAGAATTCATAATGATTCACAGATATTAAAGAAAAGGAATCTGTGTAGATTTAAGATCGTCTACATACTGAAATGACATGGTACTAAAAAGATTTAATTGATCACACCTCATAGAGTAAAAGACTTGTGAGCTCCTTTTCAGATAGCAAAAGGACAAAACTTTAATCGAAAATAACAGATTCCATTATGGCATAAGATGACATTCGTGGCCATGTTTTCTCTCTTAACATAATTGCTATTGAAAATGGCTTAGTGATTTTGGAATATGTCCAGAAAACACTGAGCAAAAAAGTATTCTTTATGTGTGTTTACTTTTTGAATTTACACATGGCCAGATAGTCCAAAAGAAAATATAGTGAGTGAGTCTGATAAATACGATGAATTACATAATTCAATCATTTGTTTGTGGTCAAAGCAAGCCCAGTCAAGTCTGAAATTGCGTAAGAGAATATATCTGAAGATGTATGAACGTTTAATAAAGGGACGTTTGGACATCGAGTCGCTGATTCACTTTTGTCGTTGTTTCTTTATTTCTAGCTTTCTCTCTCTCTTTCTTTCTCTCTCTCTTTCTCTCACCTCTCTCTCTCTCTCTCTCTCTCTCTCTCTCTCTCTCTCTCTGTGTGTGTCTTAATTCCCCGTGTTTTTTTCATTTCTCGTTTTATTTCTCTCTTTCTCTCTCGTTCTGTGTCTCTGTGCGCACAGAAAGACACACGGGCACGAACACACATACACACACACAGACACGCACGCGCGCACATACAAGTATTCCATGGTGTGATGACTGACGAGCTTTTTCTTGACAAACCAATTTGCCAGTATAATGACTTCGAACTTCACTGGCTTCCAATTCTATCTGGAGCTGCACTCTGGTGAATCTATTCGCCAGCAACGTCTCCCCAAATCCTGTGATTCCGAACAAACATAGTTATCGCTAAAAGGACTTATACGTTGCCACAAATCATCTCTTATTTTGCTGATTGTCGGTAAATGCATAAAACTTGTAGCTGAATCATCGGCAGTCTAATTTTAATGCAGACAAGAAAGACAAAATCACGCATCTTATTGCGAATGACGCTGCAAGGACAAGATTCCCTTACTCTGACTTGCTTAACTTTTGAGAGATTCATTCTATCAGGAAATTTGTTGTTGTAATGAATTTTTACGAGAGCTGATGAAAAATAGACGACAATGATAATAACCGGTTTTCCTATATAGGTATAAAACAAAGATTTGTTCTCTTTTCTTGCTCTGTACGTTATTATGTTTTTAAACACAGAACTAAACGTTTGCGTTAATGGGAAACGTTGCTTAGATACCGTTCAATCATTTGGGCTGTTTTAGCCTAAGTAAATCAATCTATCTATCAAATTTGTCTGTCTGTCTGTCTATCTATCTATCTATCCTATGTCATCCCTTCCTGGCCTGTGTAGCTGTATATTTCCTATCGGTGGCAGTGGTTTTGTGTGTTGTGGTCATGTAAAACCAACTTTTCTAATGTGGATTTTCAAAACATGCATATAGGTTAATCTAACCTTTCACACATGTGAAATTAGAATATAACAATTTCATTCATACGTCTTTCTGTGTGAATTTCTGAGATCAGGACTTACCATTATCAACATTTACATGCAGTCTGTTATCATCATTATCACAACTTCTTGGCTTTTGTCCCCTAAGGCATATTTCAGGTGTCTGTCAATAGACAAGGTAGGGCTAAAAATGGAAGCGTATAGTATTCGAAATTCTTTAGACTGATTGATGGTATTACTTGCTATTCCAACAAGCCTGATCATCGTGATTGTATTACTTGCAAGATTACAAATACTCCATCACGTACATCACCGCGACACCACAAAAACCTTCCGCAAATATCTTCAGAGTGAACTCATCAATATTACCAATCCATGATACTACAGCAATACCTCAAGATGTCAACAGGATTTTTTAAAAATTTCCACTATCTACAGGAATGCTACATACATGAAATGTAGTCTCAGTTCAATCTAGGAATATCTTTTACTTATACGATACGCGTATAACAGAATTCAATTTCAATTATCTTCAAAGAATACCATGATGTAGACAACAAAATGTTGTCTATTATACTACCAACATTCAGTTCTTGATAATGGCTGAGATTTCGAAATTTTACAAACAAAATCAGCTTATCCCCAATTTTGATTTGATGCATAGCAACACATTTTAAAATTGGAAAATACAAAGACTAAAAAATAAATGCCGAGGTGAACACACCGATCTATTTATTTAATACCATGATGTCATGATGTCATGATGTCAGTGTCTCAAGCTTGTGTGCTCATTACGTTTCTGTATAGCTATGAGTCAGGAATCCATTAATCTCAGTAACAACGCAAATTTTCCATCTGCGAAGTCTTACAACTATTCGGGGCATCTCTTGACAAGAAAGTTCTCCAGACAAAACTGTCCTGTAAAAAGTGGGAATATCAAGAATGGTGCCTTGCTTTCGAAAAGATACATGCTCTCGCTAGAATAAATTAGACGCAAGAACGACAGCCGTATATCTAAAAAGTTGTATGAGACCTAGGTCCGAATCTCAACATGCTATGTCACCGTGTGGCCGCGTTGGAAAGTGCTTGAAAACCTCACTACGAGTTAGCCAAATCCTTGTGAATGAAATAGAAACTGTCTGGAAACCGTCGGTGGTTATGCTACCACAAAAGCTTAAGTCCTCGTGGCCGAGTGTTTGAGCACACTGGCCTTATTCAAACTGCTGATCGCACCAAATTATATGCTTTCTACCAGAATTTTTAACATGGTTCAGCTCAGCACAGTTGCAGGATAAATTACAACTGGGCTCTTTGGCTTATCAATAAAGATAAATGTGCCTGAGTGGGCATCTGCTACAGGGATTAGATAGCCGCTCCAGTAGACGGGTGAGCTCGGAAACGTGTAGCCGGCTATTATTTCTATATTCATTGTTCCATAGCTTTCGTCTCGTGTGCTTGTGTTAAAAGGAACACATTTTCAATTGATTACAAATAAGTCTATTCTAATCAGCTTATTTCATTATCCCATCAGGAATTGCACTCTGGTGAGTCCATCCGCCGGTTACATCTCCCCAAACCCTGTAGTTCCGAACAAACTGAGTTATCATTGAAAGAACAAGCACGCTGCCACAAATCATCTCTTATTTTGCTAGCAAATCTGATTGTCGGTAAATGCATACGACTTTTAACTGAATCATCGTCAGTGAAGTTTCAATGCAGAGAGGAAAGGCAAAGTCACGCATCTTATTGTGAATGTTGCTTCAAGGACCAGATTTCCTTACTCTGACTTCGCTTAACTTTCAAGAGATTCCTTCTATCAGGAAATTTGTTGTTGTAATGAATTTTTACGAGCTGATGGGAAATAGAAAACACTAGTAATAACTGGTTTTCACATATAGGCATAAGTGTTGTTTTTTTGTCTTTCTTGCTGTCCATTATTACTTTTTTAAACATAGACCTAAAAGTGTTCTAATTTACTCATAAAGATGGTAATCTTGCATTGCTTAGATCTCTTGTAATAAACCAGTGTTGTTTATTTCAGTCAGACAAAACAACTTTCTCAGTTACATTAACTGAAAAATTGCACGCTTTCGACTCATCGTTATTAAACTATAGAAGCTCTAGAAAAGAAAATTAATCTATTACATTTGAATCATTAAGTTATAATTACAGAGTGAGCGAAAGCCATTTTTATGTAGAGAGTATATTTTTCTGTAATTCACACAATTCAAGGCTCGAGAGCCATGTATGGTAAAGGGTTACTAAATGAGGATGCTGTAGGGACGTACAGTGATGAAGTAAGTGAGATGCAGGATAGATAACATTTGACCCTCGACAAAAAGTGATTAATATTGTAGCGATCAAAATAGAATCATCTCAGCTGTTCGTTCCATAATGTGGGGAAGAATTTTCCTGTCTGGAACTTCCTTCTCACAAATGGAATATGAAGGCAACGTGGATGGGTCGACCGTGTATACGTGGCATGGCGGGTTCTAGCTTTGAAGTTTGGGGCTGGTGGAACAAAAAATATAATTCGCCGAAACTAAGCCATGAAAATAGGGATAAAATAGTGAGAGGCTAGCAATATTTTGCCTGTGGAAAAGGGGTTGGAAGGCGGAAAAAAATTCAACACCCGAAAGGCCAAGCAAATACTTTTAAAGGCGGTCGAGGATGGAAAGTGTGGATCCGGAATCCGCGGACCAGATGTGGTAACAATACTCCATTTTTAGTATTGTGACTTGCTTAGCTTAGTCATGACACAAGGCCGAAAGTATAGAGCATCCAGTGATAATCGAATTCAATAGTCAGTCGTAATGATCTAGCGAGACAAGCTTGCTAACCATTACACCACGCCAAAGCACTCAACCTCATTTTTTGTAGGATCCAGTTCTTGTAAAGATAGAGTATGGCTGAAGGAGTTAAGTAATCTCAGGATCAGTACAGGGAGCTGATTTTTTTGTCCAGACTTTTAGCGATGTATCATATACAGGAGTTCAACTTGATGTCTTGTGTGACCATGAGTTCCCACAACCGTTCCTAACAAGAAACCTCGTTGAGAGTGCAACCGTTAATTATAACCAGGAAAAACTCAAGGTTTGTTCCTTGGTCATGAAATTTTACCAGCTTTTTTTGGAGGTATGTTGCAAGCCACTACCTTCCCGATTGAGCTGTGTTAACAAGCTCAGAGGAGTGATCAACTGTCAGGATCTGCTCATCTTGATCTTGCGTGATAATCTCATAAACCATGGTATCATTCGCATATATATTTATTAGTGATTTAAGGACAGACAATGTGACGCTGGATTCCGAAGGTGCAGTGAATTATGCCTTCCAAAATCTAAGTAAAGTATTCAGTAAAAGAAAAATTTCGGTAGAAACAAAAAGGGCTGAACTGTCATATAACATCGGTCCTCTTATATGGCAGTGAATACTGAATCTCCTCACAGATGAAGAAGAGTCTTGAGGAAACAGAAATTTGGTTCTATAGAAGAATGGTGAGAAAACTGTGAACTAATGGGGCAACGATGAATTTGTAAGGAAAAGTGGAAACTTAACCAATGAATACCTATCCTTGCCTAATTCCTTTTTAGGAAACCTAAGGAAAGACGATTTGGCAAATTTGGCACTCACAGGACATGCAAGAGGGAGAGAGGAAAATGGCGAATAACCTGCCTAATGAGTTTGTGTAAATTGTTGGCAAAACTGGAAGAGGCACAGTAAAAGAACTAAACTTACTCAGCGCTGCAAGGGATATGAAGTTGTGGAGAGCAATGATCTTCCACGTCCTGAAGGACCACGGCACATAGAAGAAGTGATATGAGAATGTTCTAAATATATTGCACAAAAAGGTGTAAGTCCGGGAAGAGAGCCTTGAGGTATGCCTGCATTGAGTTCATAGTCGTCAAAGAACTGGCCATTAACAATCACTTTCATGGACCTACCTAACAGGACAGACTAGATACATATTTATTTAATCGTTATTATTATCCTTAAATATTTGTGAAAACTTTTCTACTTGAAATACCTGTTTCAGATTAATTTTTAAATGTCAAGTGATAAGAAATGTTATCCATCATTTTTCGTCTATGTATCGGTGTTAAACGTTATTGACATGTAAATAACGAGTAGTGAATTTGACCCTGACAAAGTTAAGGCTGATCTTGGCTGATATATAATATCTTAGTATAATTATGCTTGTTCCTACGTTAGTTAGCATGACCGTGACGTCCTGCCAATACCGCTAAATTAATGGAATGTTTCGTTTTGATCTCATGGAATGACGGAAAATAAACATATCAGAGACGCTATTTGATTTACGTGAGAAAAAGGACAAAAAGAAAGAAAGAAAGAAAGAAAGAAAGAAAGAAAGAAGGAAAGATAGAAGTGTTTATCGTCTGTTTTAGTGGAATGGAAAAATTTGTAAATTTCAAATGTTTGTATTTGTTCCTCTTTACTTAAATAGCGACCAGAATTCAGATTTATGAGTGTTATTGCAACGTTATGTTAAGGTTGTAAACTGAAATATATAACGATGCGGTAGGGGAATTTCTACGGATATTTTATTTGGTAGAACTTGCCATGAGCTTATGCAATCATTAAATTATGAATTAAAATTCATCAGAAAAATTAAGACAGGAAAAACGAGAAATCTTCACGCGTATTTCTAGTATATATAAATTGATCTCTATCTATAAAAGGCAGGATGTGTATGTGTGTGTGTGTGTGTAACGAATGTACGGCCGCAATTTTCGACGGATTTGGTACCAAGATTTACATGCACATGCTCCAAGTTAGTGGTAATGCCAAGACCGACTTTGCATTTCCCAACTCCCATCGATAGTGGAAATAATCGATATTTTCATGCTTCTACGGCACTTTTCATGTAGTTTGCGGCCATTTTCTTCTGGTCAGAATGAGAGTTTATAGCTGGCTGCCACGAATAGGCAGGTAGATTCTATTGGCCAGCATAAGAGCCAACAGCTGACTGACACGAATGTTAACTAGCATGCTAGCATGCAAAAAATCGATAGCTGCATTCGTCACAAGTGGGAAAAAATAAATCTGCATGGCACTTTACTCCAATTGGCTCATGCACTTGCTTAAACTCAGCGTTGATTCTGATTCCGCAGAAATGGGTTGGGTGTGAAAAAGTATTTGTTGTTAACATTCTTTTTTCATTCGGTTTTTCCAGTTACGAGTCCTTTTTTTAAAGCTGTTCTTTTTTTAATGTTTAGTGTAGAGCTTAGAAAAATTCGCAGTCAGCACGGCAAAAGGAACTCCTTTAAAGGCAAGGAAGGGCAAAAATATTTTAAGTCAAGTGATAGCGATTGCTGTATGAGTCGTACGATCTTTGAATAAAACACGAGCAACGCCGGGCCATGCTGCTCGTAAGTAATAAACTGCAATTTAATACAATGTGTAATATTGTATTTTAATATTATCTGTGTATAACAAAAAAAAAGATAAATACAAAATTAATGATATATGTTCCACTTGTGGAATAATAGCCACAAAAAGTTGAAGATGAAAGAATTGCTAGTCAAAAGATTGACAAGAGCTATTTCGAATTGTTAGATGTTAACTAAAGAAACAATGGCAATTAATAACATTTTGTTCAATTGTACCTGTCAACCAGCCTTAAAAAGAATATTGAGAATGTGTTTCTTAAATGTTTCACACTCGTAGCTATCTTCCGATTCCTGTTATAAAACAAACAAACAAATCATAAGAGCTAAAGACACAATCTGACCTAAGGCTAATGTTAAGAAAGAAATCCAGAAGTAGTGTTCTATACTCCTGTTCCCAAATAGCTGAATTGTATCGAAAATTAATGCTTCTCTTTATCCTTGGCAAAAACGAAATAAAGGCATGATGTTGATTTAATTCAAGAATGGGTTTTACACATGATTTGGAAATAGAGAGATTACACTTGATTGGTGCTTCATTGTGATTCTGTGAAGGGTTAAAGTTTTGATTAAACTCTCTCTCTCTCTCTCTCGCTCACACATTCACACACACTTACACATGCTCTCTCTCTCCCCCTCTCCTCTCTCTCTCTCTCTCTCTCTCTCTCTCTCTCTCGAATCTTGGTTCGTTCCATCTTTTAAGAGAAACCAGACTGGATTGCTGCTCTTATTACCACTATTATTATTATTACCATTATTACTATTATTATTATTACTATTATTATTATTATTATTGGCAGCCGTCGGTAAAGCAGTGGTGTATTTGTTGTGACTGTTGTTATTGTGATGGTAGAGATCAAGCGGTCTTCCATGTGCGATATAATTAGAGGTGCAACAAAGCTAATAGTTACAGTACATCCCTAGCCCAAGGGTCAAGGATGGCGGGCGGTTCCGTCACACTAACTTAAGTAATTAGGTATCATGGAGACCCCTATTCGTCAGTTACTTGGATCACAAAAGACAGACAGGATTTTCCCTCAGGGGTTAAAAAGTGTTAGTTCAATACGCTCAAGCGCATCACACGAATGATTATGGAGACACATAAACACACACACACACACACACACACACACACACATATATATATATATATATATATATATATATATATATATATATATATATATATATATGGGGGTGTTTACATGCGTTTAGCATCGATATCAAAAAGAAAAATCTTTGCTTCTTGTATATTTTACTTTTATTGACACGTCTACTCATTAGTGTGCAATATATGTGCAATATCAACGTGACACTGAGATAGTTCCTCTTTGTGTTTGTTTAAAAGCAGAAAAATGTACATTTCCGATTTATTGTTTATTGTCTATATGTGTTCCAAGGACATATACAAGCGTGGATCAATAGATTTGTAGCCTGCCGTGTCGATATTAGTTGAATTCTAATCTGATGCTTTCACTGTATAATATCCGATCTATCCGATTAACACTCACCACCGAATTAAACGGTAGATTTTGTTGAAACAGAGAAATTAGTAAGAAATAAACATTTTTTTTCATTATAAGACCATTGTCTTATTGATATCCCATAATATCCATAAAAAATAAATATTCTTTAAAAATTGCTTTCTTTACATCTCCGATACGACATTGAACAGATTTGAAGCTTTCGAGAAAATATTATTTGCGGGAAGAGCCTGCGCTTGCCTTAAGAATGGAACCTTATTCACTGTGATGTTCTTCGTGGTCGAGTCGTAAAGTACACCGTAACAGAAAGGGGTTTCCCCTACAAAAGATGAACGCATTTTCCCAACTGAGATTTCACAAATGCACAGGCTGATAAACGTCATACGCACTATTTAATAAATGAAAATGAAACATTTATTTCACATAAGAAGTATCAATATAATAACTTTTTAAGTGCTCTCACACACACACATATATCAGTGGCGAAGGGTGACTTGGGAACCAAGGCATGCAGTCCGTTAGGTAGGCTAATCGCTCAGGTGAAGAGGAAAAAGGAGAATCTTCTTGCCAATTCAATGGTTGTTTTTCACTGCTTTTTAAGAAAAAGTAAAGACTTTTGGTTCAATCTTGTTTACAATTCACCATATTAACAGCTTCTGTTTTAACGAGACGTAGATGTTATCGCATGAAAACAGATGCCATGGCGTTGATTGATGGCTGGAACATTCAAAATTATTCATTTTGACGTAAACTAAATTGATATTGTTTTAATTTAAATTGTTTTAACTAACTTTAAAGATAAAGATTGACCTTTCTTCTTGAAAATAACACCCACATTAATACATGTAATATGAATTTAAATACTTTAATTTTAAAAATAGATATTGCAGTTATTTTTTAATGTCCTTTAACAAAATTTAACATGTTTATTGAAATAATATACAATATTATCATGAAATTGATATACATAACTTTAAAAGAATAAATTTAGACATTTAAAATTAAATCTTATGGCATTGAAACTGATAACTTTTAATCACAAAAAATAGCTTTCACCGGTTACTCCTCGCCCCATATTTGAACTGGTCAAAAACTTTCTGGGAAATGGTCACATGACTGAATCCGTGTCTTTAGAAGGGGTGAAGAATACTCTTCATGGGTAAAACTTTTAAAAAGTCAGTAAAAAAAGAACGTTTGATGTGACACTAAATTCATGAGGCGTTCTCTATATACTATTCAGAACCGAATAATACAAATTTTTCGTCTAAATCTATTCGAGTATAAGTCCTTTGAATAGACAAGTCTTTGATTTGAGTCGCACGCAATAAAAACATCATCACTTCAGTAGAGCGTGCTTACTAGCTTGATACGGCTAGAAAGCAAGCAAGAGAATTTCTGCTTTTCGGTGGCTTTCTCTTTGTGACCCTACCCCCAAATTATTATTCTGTCTAGCTTGAAGGGAATAATAAAACAGGGAAGGCTAAAGCCATGGCTTTTTGAAACGCAAGCAAAAGAATTTCTGCTTTTCGGTGACAATCTCTCTTTCTCTTACTAACTATTCTTTTCTGTCTCTCAGGCTCCCTACTAAAAATTCATTGCTTTTACATGCGTCTTTTCTCGCTAAACAACAAGAGCTTTCTCAACTTATATTCCCTAAATAATATCGCTTGTAAAAATTATCCTAAGAAATGAAGAAAAATACAAATAGGAGAGTGAAAATTATTGATAATTAATTTTATATTACACACACTTATTAATCCTGGAAAAAAATGTAAGCCATCCAGTGCATGCGTTGCATGCATGTATATATGTATATGTAGATACACTCTCAAACACATGCACACACACACACACACACATATATATATATCGTGAGTGTGTTTATAAATTATAAAGGCATTTATCTATAAGAAATAAAGATAAAAATTAAAGCGCAAAAGGATCTTTGTGAGAAATAAATAGAAAAAGATAGAATCATAGCAATTGGGAAAGAAAGAAAGAAAGAAAGAAAGAGGATAAGAATAAAGAAAAAGTAGAGAAAAAGAAACAAAATGCAAGATTGCGTTCATGTATGGGATAGTGAGAGTAACAGAGCAGACGAAGGAAAACGTTTGTGTATGTGGGTATATACATATATGTATGTCTGCTTCATCAACGTCATGGAAATCATCCCTAAAACGTTCGTTTGGTAGATATGAGTCTTAGAGGCGCTCTTCCTCCGACACAAGTCGTCTTTCATCATGTATGCTTAGTGTGGAGTTTGCATTAAGCAGAAATAAAATGAGAAGAAAGAACGCAGCATATAACATTGTGTGTATATATATATATATATATATATATGATTGTGTGTGTCTGTATATTTATGTGTGACAAAAATTCATACAAAGCTTAGAACACATTCGATTGTGAGCGTATGTTTAGCAACGATGATTGTATTGTGTGTGTATGTACGCGTGCTAATTGAAATCAGTCTGAAATTCGTATCAAGCAAGAAAAAAGCTAGCGCAGGCGAGAAAGGGTTAAGGAAGATTCGCATTAAAAACTATAGCGCAAAATAAAGAATAAATTCTAGTCAGCAAGGAGATAAAAAAAAAAAACAGTTGCATGAAATAAAACCAAGTGCAAAATGTAAAATAAAAAAATTCAAAGTAAAAAAAAAAAGACAATATAAAATAAAAATAAAATGACCGGAGGGAATGAGGCGCTCGTTGAACAGAGATTAACCAACATAGCGGCCAACCGGAAGTACAATGTCCTTGTCTTCCTTTTTCGTTTCCCTCTCTGGTGAGTATCACCAACGTGCTGTCTTCTTTAAAACCGGTGCGACCACCACGAGTAACATTAGGTCTTGCACGAAAACAATTCTTTCTTTCATTCTATTTTTTGCTTTCTCTCTCTCTCTCTCTTTCTATCTTTCTCTCTCTTTCTCTTTCTTCCTGCCTATCCTATTGGCCCTTTCCAACTTACGTGCAATCACCGGGGAATAGGAAATATTCGATCTTCATCTTCCTTCCATGTGCATAATAAGAAAACGCTCACTGATTAATGTTGGGAAAAGTGCTGAATGAGAGGAAAGCGGGAAGTTCCAATCTAAACGAGGAGAAGATAAAGGTAGATAGAAAAACAAGACGAACTATTGAGAAGAAGGCTTTATCACTGGTAACACTGAAGAAATGTAGTGAAACTCTGTTTTTTTTTTAAGATATCTTTACGTATTCGAGGTCATATAATGGATAGCGACTTTGAATGAGAAAAGGGAGATCCAAATTCGAATTTCGGTTGAGTTCGCGGCATTCATTTAAGCGTAAATACACTTGGGCGGGTATAAATTCATTTATCATGCCCTCAGCAATGGGTTAAATAATAGATCAGTCTGTATTTCTATATGGTTTATATTTATACCACAAATTGATAACGCAATATTCAACCGCAAGCAATTTGTTTTTCTCATACAATTCAAAAATGTTTCACATTTAAAGAACCCACAACTGAATAATAATCCGGAAAACAAAGTCAATTTAAGTATTAGAAATTAATCCATAATGTTTAATTGATTTACTCAACGTAGGTTAGATGAGGTAGAATGCTGCATGAATGAAACACCCAATGAAGATTGAACTCACGCGTTAGTTATAATTGATCAGCGTAAGAAAATTTCTATTACACCACGTCGAAGGGCCTCTTCATAAGCATAGATTAAATGTGACACAAGGCTGCAAGTATGGTGCACTCAGTGAAGTACGAACTCACAACTCAGTCTTAAGTAATTTAGTTAGACAAGTTTACTAACCATTATACCAGATTGAAGTGCACTAAACAGCGATTTACTAAGCGTAGCTTAGATGTGGCAACGTCGCAATTATAATACTGTAGAATACTTCACATCTATAACACTGAATTTTAAGGATATTTCAACTTCTTGAGTTAGATTTAATGCCAGTATTTGTTTAATGGAGAATATTTTGAATTAGTTTGGAAGTTGAGTATTTTACATGTATTGGTATGTCCGATTTATTGTTCATGATGACGGTCGTCTTCGAGTATAGAATCCAGAGGTTAGCAGTGAATATTTCGGAGACAGTAGGAAAGCGTAGTTCAAGTTAGCAGTGGATATCCCGGTAAAAGTAGCAGAGC